TCCCGTCCGTCCCGTCCGTCCCGTCCGTCCCGTCCGTAGTGTTAGTACCTTAAAATAATAAAATAGGCCCTTTTTACTTGGGCCCGCTCGCATTGCGGGCCTTGCGGGCTCAAACGTTAAGACAAGGGGTTTACTATAGTGATATTTATTCAGTATTGAAGCACGCATGACAATGTTTCCGAAATGAATACGTTCGTATTTACGTAGAGATAGCAATGTTGTACTTAATATATAAAGTGGCTTTCAAGGTAGTATAGGAATTCCCAAGTGACGAAGGCAATAAGAGTTTGCCAAACTTTAGCCGTACTCCGGGGAACGACTACAATACATTCTCTTCTTATGAAGTAAGGACGAGAAAGTAGAAAGGGAGCAATTGAAGACACCCTTCTTCCTACATATTAGGAAAACTTGAAGATCCCGGACTTTTACGATGTAAATCTTTTTATGAAAATGTTACTTTCTAGGGAAGAAACTTCTTACCCCTTGTTCGCCTTCCAGAAACAATTGAAGATCTTCTACGCACAGATAATCCTTATTAGCAAACCTGAAACATAACACAAACCATGAGATTGGAATCAATTTCACATACCAAGGAACAACAATCCCAACGAAAAACATACAAAAATAAAAATGCAATCATTAAAAAATAAGGACGAAATTGTAATAATCAAACGAGTGTCACATGCAAACGTTCATTACTTCCCTCATCAGGAAGTCCAAAGAAATATTCCACAAAATTCAAAATAAACTAATCTCATAGAAGATGCATTCGATCTAAAGTGATTCATCTCAATTCTTTCGGCAGCACACCATCCATCTTGAAAAACATTGCAGATTACTTTACGAGAGGAAACGAAACGCGGAGCTATAAAGTACCTCCCTTTTAATTGAGTATAGATCCTAATTCACAGTACAACCGCAAAATATCGGCGTAAAATTCTTGTGATAGAAAATGACAGAATAAATCAGCATTTCTTTTCATTATGTAGCTGTTGTCCTCTTACATCGCGCTATACCGTGCAAGTGGGAGATATCCTATTGAATTTACTGTATGACGATCATTATCTGTATGGCAATAATTTTACGTCGATGTTCAAGCACTTTTAAACATACGATGCATTTATGTTGACTTTTCGGCAAAAATTTCGAGACATTCTTTCTCTTGAAGGGAGTAGGTTACGGACTAATTAATTACTGAAAGGAATTCCTACATTAATATTGCAAAGCGTATACTGGGGTATATAGCGAAGTTAGGTTTGGTTGAACCGTATCGTGTAAATAATAATTTATGACTGTTACACAGGAACTCGAAACACGTACACATATTATCTCTCTTAGCCTTAGAAACTTCTCACCAGCAGTCTGATGATTGTTAATCCTCGTCACTGTCACATACTTCACCTCCTCTAGCCGCATTATGATTACTAATGTGCTCAGAAGTATATTTGAAAACTGCTCCAACTTCTAACTTTATCCAGCCATATTGTTTAATGCGAACAGTAGCCGGCTAATTCGGAAACTAACCGTATTTCGCACATTGGTAACAACAAACATATTCAACAAATGAACTGAAGCATACCCGTTTAGCCTCTTTTTACTGGTTAATTTGAATTGTGACAGTTACATTCATCACATTTGTCAACAGCCGACCTGGGGAGCCGAGATCGCTACGGTGGACGCGCCTCCACACTGCGTCGATTTGAATGGTCGCGGGTTCATATCCCGGCATTGCCCTCCCTCAATCCCGCATGTATGTTTGCATAGCGTGTGGTGGCATGGTTGGATACTTTCTAAAGCTCTATTAATAGGTTGCGTGAAGGTGAATATGACTGGCAGAGCAGAGGTCGAGGATGCACAGTCAATGGGTCTACGAACTGCGTGTCCGCCATCTGCTCGTCCCCAACCACCCTAGCCATTAAAAATGTTGTCGCGTGTGGGCGTGGGCAGTAAAGAGCTTAAGGGCCACTGCGGCGCACGGGAAGGAATTAAAGGCTGGCGTTCCTGCCACAGGCTCAGTGGCGAAGCGTGAATGTACTTTGAAGGCATGCGCATGCTAGTCAATTGCGGGTCATGGGCCTAATAAAAAGTGACGAAACGTCCAGCAAATCCCCCCTTCTCATTTACGCATATATGTTTTATAGAAACAAACATTTAAAAAAGGAATACTGATAACGGTCAATACGTACGTTAAACTAATGCATGAGCTATTTTACTAGTATTTCGCACCCCCACCTGCCATAATCGTACTTCACACTAGATTTCGTACTACATAATATTGAGCAAGACGAAATTTGTTTAAAATATTGACTGACCAATTACATTGAGTACATCTTGATGATTTCAGTTTTCGAGCACACGTTTTCTCAGCGTATTTTGCTAATATTACATCATCTAAATCTGGCACTCATCTTTCAATTTTTATATTTCTTATTTTATAACCTGTTCTCTTACCATATTGAGAATAGTTTCTTCCAGTAAAAACACGGGTCGTACAACTGTAATGACATTTTACATGACAATGCAACACACGGAATACAGAAAAAGTTGAACTTTAAGGACGTTCATACCGTAGTCTATTGCTGATATGAGGATACAGTCACGTGACAAGTATCGCAGCTCAGCTCACTCCCTGTCAGCTCGCCCTGTGAACGATTAGTTCTCAAAATTACTGCTAGGCGTGTCTCCTGTCGCCCTTCCGCCCCACCACAACAGCATGCAGAGGATGCGAGTTTTCTTCAGCCAAATCTGGTCATATTACAACTACGGCAATAAATTATAGTAACTTTAATAATCCGGTCATGTTATATTATAAATATCACTGTATCTATCAAATGTATCATATTAGTGTACAGTCATATATACAAAAACCTAATTGCACATTTTTTCATTATTTTGTAACGGTTATGCAATATTATCATGTTAGTTAAACCTGTGAAATTGGTTCCAACCCGCCGAAACCTTTGCAAGACCTGGAATTCGAACCCAGGCAGTTTCGCAAGCTACAAACTAAGCCACGAAACAAGGGCTGCTCAAATGCAAGGGCCACACTACCGCGATGTCCCTCGGCAATGGGTAGCGTGCCACCTGTCTTTCACTACACTAGAGCCGATCGTGCATGGGTGCCTCCCATCCCGTCGGAAAGACTCAATAAGATGCGAGACACCGGTAAATGACGTAGGAGCTCCAAATAAAATACCGCCAAAAATTAAAATATCTGTGTGAATTTCCAGGAGCCACGTCGACCAGATCGATCGTGAAATATAATTTTTGGTGCAAATACTTCCTACGGTTTACGCGCTAGTGTTGTCAACGGACGGACGGACACCTGAAGAATAACCATTTTTTTCTGTACAAAGGAGTTGATACAAAATACGTGATTTTGACTGTGCTATGTATTTGGGAAAGTAATTTATTACACGTATATATAATAAAAACCATTGTAAAAACTAACGGTTTCGGAACCAAAAACCTTTTTCTTTCTGCGAAGTATATGCGACAAACTAAAAACTACTTCGAACAGCCACGTGCAATTGACAAGCATAATCAACATTTCAAAGAATAATCGAAAAATCGGCCATAAATTTCCATAACGATAAACTTTTCCATAAATTAATAATTTTAAGCTGCCTGGTACCCATTATTAGAATGTTAACTATATTGTTAGTTGATTCATCACTTACACACGTTGCAATTTACTTTAATTAAGATAGCATGCTGCATACAACAATTTTCCTCACCGATAATTTCAAATTTCCTACCTAATGAGTAGGAAGTAAATTTCAGGTCGGGTTGCCACTTCTTTAAACATATCAATGAACTCCTTGCTGTCTATGGTGCCTCTTCTCCCGTCATTTCGCGACTGATCAAATTCCTGTAACAAACGATACAGTATTATTTCACCAACTACACCTACCCAAAAAATTGGACATTTACATACAGAGCAAACATTGAGGCTCACTTGCATTATTAATGTGTCAAATGGAATACTTTTAAGTCTAGTATAAGGAAATACACTATTCACACTATGTGTCGTCTTTCTACATTTATATGAGTAAATTATCTCAAAATCCAAATATTGGGTATAATACGTCACAATTATAATCCAGGAAGATCACGGCGGCAATAAAGATTAACTACAACTACTACTGCTAAATAACTACTACTAAAATGTTAAGGAATTAATCATATACAAGGGGAATTGTTTAATATGAGAAAACAATATTCCTATTAACTATAGTTACGACACTCGCCGAGCAGCCAGAAATCTCAAATCAACCCTTCGCAATGACAAGGTTCCAGCTGATATTTCAGTAGTTTCGAATATATTGATGCCAAAGTTTCGTTAACTTATTCAATTATCTCTCCACCTAGAGTAGCGATTTTTTACTGTCGCCATTTGTCCAGCAATTAGAGCACGAGTACGTTCTACTTGTAGCAAAGTCAGATAGAACCTTGTTACACTAACAACTTATTTTCTTTGATTTTGTCAGTTGGAAACGGGGTTATTCCAAGGGGTCGAAATAACGAAGGTTCTGCCATCGGGCTTTGAATAAGTATGAGATTTATCACACGTTCGTACTGTAGCAAACAAAACATACTATGATTAATAAACACAATACTAGCAGCTAGGATTTTTCGAGCTTTATATAGGGTATAGACTTTATTTTTCAGGTTTAAAAGATACCTTTATGACATTTTAGATGATTTTAGGATATTATAATTTTTATTACTTAGTTCAATGCTAAAATTGGACACAGAAATGTCACACGAGATAAATCAATTCTCGTGTCATCGATTTGTTTATATATTAGAGTGGGTGATACGTGAAAACGTTAGCCTTCATATATCCTTCAAAAATGGCAGTGTACAAATGTTTTTCATGTTTTACGTAAGTTATAACTTTAAATAAGAGGCTGGCATAATATAAGAGGCTGGCATAAATAAAAAATATCGGCTGGCATCAACACAGGAAATCTTTTCATTTCTACATTAGCCTTCACATCTCTGAAATAGCTATCAACCATGAACGTCACCTTACGAAAGCTTTTTAAAGCATTTACATAATTTCTTGCCTAACAAATCCAAGTACTAGAGCTCTGTTAATTGGTCACCAAAATCTCGCTGTCAGGACGGCCCGCTCAAAACAATTGAGCTCCTGCACAAGCTGCGTTGCGTCGAAGCCAACTTTGAGCAAACGGACGGTTTCTATTCACGAGCCGTTTCAACAATTTGGCCAGATTGTCACCACTTTGAAATCAGGGAAATATGCACCTCTACGACTCTCTCAAGCGTTTATCCTTCATCCATAATACTCTTCGAATTAGCTACTTAGCGAATTAGCTAATGCATCAGCATTATATATTTGCAACCCCACAACTGAAGATTCTTTAGTCGGAGGGTCATAGGTTCGAGTTCCGTCGGGAGGGAATTTTTGGGATCAGCTAAAGCGTTAGATAATGCTATTGCCTGGATAAGAATTGTATATTAATTGATTGATTATTTTGCGTTTTAGGGCGTTTAAACTGCTATACTCCTGAGTCCTGTGCGTTTAGTGCATGTTATATTCCAGGAGATTGTACTGTTCCTCTCCCGCTGGAACGTGAATTCCGGCGACGAACTATTTATCGACTTGTGCTGTTTCCTTCCTCCTGGTATTTCTGACCGTGGGGCATCGCTCCAGTCGGGACACACTCTAAACTCTCGACTTGGCCTCTCCCTCCACATGTGCGATAGTGTAGTACATATAACGAATTGTGAGTGTGTAAGTGGGAGAGGAGGGGACGAATAAGGAACGAAAGATTGCGTGAGCTCCATGACTCAATCATTAAGATCCTTCTCCAGCCGAAGCTTTTAATGATCGGATATTCCACAGAAAATAAGCATTTTAGACGCCGGCCGCTCTAATGTGGCATCTCCGTCATTCCCGCTCGCTTTCTAAATGCAACACGATGAGCACCTCCCCCGGACTCATACGGTGCAGTCCTCATTGGCTCCAAAGACTCCGGCAGCTAAGTAAGCGCGGAAGTAAAGCCAAAGATTCAATTGGACTGACGGACCATTGAAAGGCAAACTTACAAGACCGCTACATTTGGATACAACACAAGTCGTACGTGATTTTGAGCTTTTCTTGCGCGGGGATATGGAAGCGCCGAAGCAGCTGCTGCGCCGCCCGTGCTATCGTACTGTTACGATAGTTACTTTGAATATTTGAAAAAAAAAATATTACACTTCTTTTTCGAGTTTTTTCCTTTCAATATTCAGTAAGAGTTACTATTTCTCCATTTGGAACTTTTATTATCATTTGGGACTTTCTTAACCTGAAGTGAGAGTTCTGTCTTTCAACGCTAATCGGATGTTTACAAAAATAATGGAGACCATCGGTATGAGTAATCGCTTCGTGGAAACTCCAGTGTTTTCTCTCCGCCAGTTCCTTTCTGCCAGGCTGATCCACGTGCTCTTGCTGGCCAAACACGTTGAAATAATATTTTAGTAAATGCCCACGCAGATGTATGTTGCACATTCGAAGCGAGGAAAGATATTTATATGGTAAAGAATAATTCGAAAGTTAACGTTACGTGCGCGCCAAGGGAATGAGAGAAGCGCAGTGTCAAATGAGGCAAATTCTTGAAGTTAGAACCCGCCGGCTGTGATAGTTTGGCTCAAGTGATGTTTTGCGTAAGGTATGCAGCGCTCGTCACAACCTGAGTGCATTTCTGTCAATAGATACACTGCTTAAACACCAGTCACTTGATAAGTTACTGTTGGCCGTCTGTGGATTTTCTTCAGAAAAAGGCGTGCGTCCTTCTAACTTAAGCAATGTAATAATAATACATTACGACCCTTTAATTATTTCAATTCAAATTTACAGACCTGAATTAATTTTACTGACTTATGAAGCAGGTAGTCATAGAGAGTCTTATTATCATGCTATTATCACGATTTTAAAATATAGTAAGAAATTTGTTTAAGTAATACCATGCGTCCACATCAGATCAGCACCATGTTCATCGGTTATAATATAAATTAATTCGATTTCGGTTTATTTAGTAAAAAAAGGCACAAACTATGTATGGGTATGGGACGTATGGGTGAGAATATCTGCGCACGTTTTCTTGAGTTCCAGAATTCCTTTCCTTCGCTTTAACTATAACACTTTAACTAAAATTCCCATTTCAAGTATAAATAGTTGAAAGACGAGCAAATGTTTTTATAAGAAAACAAATAAAATTAAATTTAAAAAAATGCGAGATTAACAATATTTGAAAAAACTAGACATTTTCGTTTCCGAGTTATGGAAAATTATTTGCAATTTAATTCAAAAATAATTTTATATTAGGAAGCATTTATCATGTACTGTAAACCTATTAAATAAATGAATGATAATGAATTTTGGATTTGCCGACCTCCACTCCTTTCCCAAATTTAAACATCGAGTTACGTCCATGTTTAACCTGTACCAAGTTTTTACAGATTTATCGCTTGAATGCTAAAATATAGAATATTTAAAAAAGTTTAATGATAACACTGGCATAACCAGAAGACATTTTCTTGTAAATCAATTTCATTGGGTTAGTTTCTGCCTTGGCGAAAATATTGAGAACCCTCTCTTTAAACGCCGGATATCTGCTGCACACGTGATATTTTAAAAATTTTGACAGTGTTCCGCAGATCGGTCTAAATATGCTCGAGGGTACTCACTGGTTATTCAGTGGAAACATGTGACAGGAATCCAAAACACCAGTTTAACTAATTATAGTTTTCTCGTAAACATTCTTAAGACCAAATTCCCAACTAAAATTTAACATTTGGCTACCAGGCATAATCTCATCGTGACTATGGTAAATATACATCTGTTCATTGCATCGAGTCTCAGCATTTAATACATCTGGAAATGTGAAAAGTTTGTTAAAGTGCTCGGAAATATGCGTCGGCTGGATGAATCTTTCCTAATTTATCAGTTCGACGATGGAACTGTTGTCGAACTGATCAAATCTCACTTCCATCTGCACTGTTATACAATTTGTGTAAGTCACAATGTTTTTTACCACGTTTTTAATGTTTGTGTCATTAAAACAACACTACTTGGCGCATTGTATCCATTGTGTAAGAAGTAGCTTCATACCGTATCTTCTTCACATTTTTCTGACACTTCCATTTCATTAACACTATGCCTTTTCGTGCAAAAACTTAAAAAGTTTATCCGTTAATTAAATACGCGGGAATACTACAGCTGAGGGAAGCTACAAGGTAAATGACGGATTTTCCAAAATTCTTTGTAATTTCCACGTATTTAATTTGAATGTTTCTTTCTGCTCCAATAGTGAAGAAGGAATTTCATTAGTTTGCAAAAAAGAAACCAAATAAACGATCTGACTGCCACAATCGGTACATTAATTAATTGATTGGTGATTTCGAGCACGTTAACGGTCAAAGTCATCATTCCCGTACGTGCAGTGCATGTTTTGCTCAGGTGATGGCAATGATCTTCCCTCGATGAATGGGGAGATCCGGTACCGACCAGCCGTCGGCTAGCGAGGTTTTCCCCAACCAGGTATCTCCCGCCAACAGGGCACACACTAAGCTCGCGACCGGTCTCCCGGCATGAGTGATAGTGTAGTGCATGTAAAAATAAGTGTTTCACAAGTTACAGTTTACGTGAAGATTATACTCAAGCCGTTACAGAAAACGTGCAATTTAGTCTCCATGATTTTAGCCTGAAAAGTTTTGAGTACAATATATTTTTTCATACAGTTCGATTCTAGCGCCTCTAGCGGAAGAATCGAACAGTAACGGATATGTTTACGACTGAAATCGAACGTTCTTTTCAATTTTGTGGTTAGGTAAGGTGAGATTCGTGAGATTTTGTATATTGCCAGGGCGGATACGAGATCTTGACTTTTCTGGTGATTATATTTTACTGCTATGAGCAAATATACTGCAAGGCATACTACGCGCAGTCTCGCTTTTGCAGCAAAACATCCTAAATTCGGAGTGTGTTTTTTCTGCGCATCCAATACACCCTTCGCAACCACGAGCATGCTTGTAGTGACGATGACAATATTTCTATTTTTTCTTCCAGTGTTACATTAATTTATTAAAAAAGTATTAATAAATAAGCTCACAACAAACGTTCACAAATACCACAAACGAATGTACACAGACGGCATTACACATTTGTGAGCGGCATCTCGGGGCAACTTGTAAGCAAATGTGCAGATCGTGTTAAAACCACTTTTGACTTCGTATGCGGCGTACTTCAAGTTTCCTCTACAGTTTTTGTACGAAAATCTGCATGACTGTACCGTGTAAAAATTCTTTAAGGCCGCTTTGAGACTGGTCGGCCGTCCGTGGTAATTACGTGACATTTTTCACAACAGCAACGACTGAGGTAGCTCAGGGCATCAACTGCCACTGCAGTGCCGCTGACCGGTTGGTCCTACGGTCCGAGTCCCGACAGGGGCAGAATTTTCGAAAATAGCTTGGTCGAATTCAATTGCTGACTGGAGAATTCTAGAGGCTAGCTAATCTGATCGGTAGTTTACCGTGCTTTCTCGCGAATGCGGAAGCAGGACTAATGAACGAGTCACAGACTTTTCCTCGTTCTATCTTCACCTTTTTCTTACATCCACTTACACTTACATTAACTACACTACCACGCATTTGTGGAGAGCAGTCGGGAGCTTAGAGTTTGTTTTGTCTGAGGCGGCGCCCAGCTGGTGAGATACCGGAATGGGGAAACCACGCAAGCCGGCCTGTAGGCCGGCGTCGGATCTCACTCATCATATAGTGGTGGAAAAACACCGCCACCTCCAGAGATAAAACATGCATTACCCTAACAGAACTAATGACCATAGCAGTTCACGCGCCTCGAAACACAAAATAATCAATTTTCACCATAGCCGCTGACAGCAGCCGTGAGCATCGCGATGAGACGAGCGCCTTCCAGCGATGAGACGGTGGCGTTCGGACTGCGGCGTTGAACATTATCACAGCTTACGAGACTTCAGTCCAAGCGGCGGGCGCTGAGGACGATAGAGATTCTCTCTCGCGCCTTCCCCTCTGTGCACAGGCGCAACGCAGTTCATTGACAAACTTCGTTGCAAGTTCAGGTGGGACCAGATAAAAACGGAATCGAGTGAAGTGGACACTGAAATACTTTAGTAGAAGATAAGCCAGAGCTGCATCTCCAAACTTTCTTACTCATCAATTGCAGAAGCACTCCTCCGCATGCGAGTTTTCGCTGTCTAGAAATGTTGATGCGGTAAAGAGCCAGTGTGTACTATGCACGATGGACGCCGTTCGCTTTAAAAATCCTTCGTACGCCTTCCTTCGGAGGGGAAGTAAAGCCTGCTGACCCATGTTAGTAGATTTACTTGCATGTAAAAGATCCTCAAGCCTAAAAGACGCCTCTGAGCTAAATTCAAATCACCTGTTTCGTCGCCCAAGAAATACCTCCTCTCTTCGCTAGTTGGTGAAAGGAGCGTAGCGAAATTTGCGTGGTCAGACAGAAGAGCGGGCCTGACGGCACGAGTCCCGCCACGTAAAATAAGGCATTAATTCAATTCAATTCAATTCAATTCGCTACACGGCGCCTAGACTAAAATCAGCCTAAGGAGAGGTTTCTCGTGCGGCTGTCCTTCGGTGCGCATTTTTCCCTAAAGAAAAGTGACGACGGCAAAGACACACCGGGAACGCAGTCAACTACTACGGCTGTTAGTCTCGTTGGCATAGCGAGTGTTTTTTCGGGAGTTGGTGGTGTTTCTACTTAGCTGGCTTGTAATATCTGGCGCCGACCTACACGTCAGGTTGCATGAGATTTCCTTCTTAAGGTATTCCCAGCCGCAGGGTCCTGCTCCAGCCGGGACAAATTCTTATCCCCCACCGGTTTCCCGACGTATGTGGCAGTGTAGAGTACGTAAGTGTGTGTGTGTGTTTATGGGTGTATGTTGTGCTGTTGCCCTTTTATTGGAATACTGCACCAGCATTCCTCAGGTATTGATAAGAGAAAAGACTGAAAACTACCGAACTGAGAAGCCGGCTGCTAGAATTCTCTTCCAGTCTGGCTGAATTCAACCTATCTCCGTAGCTAATGTCTAACGTTGGATCTTAAGCCCTAGGATATCCCGAGCAGAGTCGCTGCAGAGTATGCGGCAATGCTGGCTCTGAGCTAAACTCAGCCGGTTTCAAGTGAAGAAAATGAACATGTTCTATTGAAATATTTATATACTACGTCCTATGCATGATTGTTTTCCTTGGATATGGTGTGTCTACCTTGTCTCCCCTCACGCCTCGCCAGAGAATGCGACATTTATCATGTATCAAAACACTAGTAGACTTCAAAATTCTTACCGTTAATTTTTGTCGTATTCTAACAGTGTTCACTTTCCCACTTGCACTTAACTTCTGTATTAGATCAATGGCCGAACACTGATCGAGGTAACCTGAGTTGTCTGCCGCTGCCTGCTCGAACATTTCTTGCAGCCAACGCTCCCGCAAAGCTTGCATTTCTTCAAGGCCATCGGGAGCTGTAAGAGTATTTACAATACATATTAATAGAAGTATAAATATATTAATAACAATTATGGATATGACATGGAAAAACAATATCAAAAAATTGTAAAAAGTTATGCATCTAAATATAGTAAAAGAAAAAATCTCAAAAGAAAAAGCAAGAGATTAAAATATATAGAACTTCATATTGCAATAATTATAAACATTGTATATATCTCTAAATAATAAAATGTACTACAATTCAAAAACAAAAAATGTTTGTGAAGCATAGTAAACAGTTTTTCATTCGGTCTAACTATGACGCATTTCCTTTAACTAGCCAAAGTTTGGTCAAAAGTTTCATAAACAATCACAAATCTGAAAATACATTTTTTTATAAACTAAAAGTGAGAAAATCTCCTAACGCCATAAAAGAATCAAGTCGTGGTATAATGTCATAAGTCATGCAAAAAAGATGAAGTTTTGCGATGAAATAAGAGTTAAAAAAAATAACAATTCGTCGCGTCTTCTACGCAAGACGTCTCTTCAGCCCCTCTGAGCATTGAGCGTCCTCCGTTAGGGTATTTGTCGTTTATCTCGTAATGTTGCAGCCAGTCGATGTCTTTTATCCCTTCGCCCAAGGGCTGGCTGGCTGGCTAGCTAACTATGGTTCTTAGCCTGTCACCCATCCAGGAACCCTCGGTGTCTCGAATTGCTTAACTTCCGTGACATCACGGAGCGCAGCTAAGCGATTCGGCTAACAATGCCGGCTTTTTAGGAACAATTTTAGGTAGCGAACAGTTATAAGAATGTTGAAAAATATTCGTTTGTGCTTCAGTTAGGAAATATTAAACTGAGATACAATATGTAAACAGAAATTCTAGGGATTATTTCCAAGAACATTACAGGTGCCTTGAACAGGTCTGCAGCTGGAGTTAGGGAGAAGAGAGTGTCCTATTTTCAAGTATTATTTTGGGTAGTTACATTTTATTTACATTGGATTTTAAATGTAATTTACAACATGATGTACCGTTATCCAATTTAACCACTGAATAATACCTCGGAAAACTAACATATTAAAAACAGACATAATTTGTTCTTTCAAATTGAAATCAACTATTAATAAAACCCAATTAATGACTAAAATCTAAATATTTAGGTAAATAGAAAGTTGTGAAATATTTCTCTTCCCAGCATAAATATTCCAATTGTCAAAATTTGTACATTCATAAACGTGAGTGTGTACGTAAAGATTATATTTCGTCAGTAAAAACACTAAAAGTTCATAAATGTTCCGCTTGTTTAGTTATAATGCAGTTTATTTAATATAATTTACATGGATAATATAAAAGAGCATTACTCAACAAAATATTAAATAAAAAATTACAACAATTTTTAAGTACAAAAACAGGAAATGAAATTTAATTTTCATCGAACATTTAATGCACTCGTAACGCACTTTTCTCCAGTTTTATTAATTAAAATCATTAGAAATCGAATGATTAAATGTTAGTTGAAAATTCTTGCGTACAACTGCATGATCCTTTAATATATTTTGAAGTCTGTATTAAAATTAAATTAAAGGTAAAAAAATGGTACCTTTTCAATGGTTTTGATGGAACGAGAAATATGTGGTTCTTCTAATGCATCTTTTCCCTGCTTTAAATGAAACGCCATCTGCGCTTTTCTTTAAAGTTTGAAAATTTAAAGTTTTTAACGAAAATAGCGCTTGTGTGATACATTGCAGTTCAATTTTATTTTCTTTAAACTATTTTGCGAATAGATATCTTTGGAAAATAACATTTTTAAAACATTTTTTTAAATAAGAGTTTATGTTTTTTTGGAAAATTGAGACTAGTTGATTAAAATATTATTAGCGACTTCATAATATAAAAAAACGTGACATGAAAATATCGAAAAAACGTGAAATAAATTATCGATCAGATTCCATTAAGAAAAAAAACTATCTTCCGTAATGAAGGTGTAAGAGGAAAGACGAAACTATTTACACATTCGGACATTCAGAGACTGCAATGAAAGTATATTTTCCCAAATTCATAAGCTCTTTATTCGAGCAAAACAGTAATCCGATGTGAGCTGATTTTAGAGAGTTTAAAAAAAATTAGCCTACAAATTGAAACTTTAAATTTAAAAACACTCCTGTTAGATTAGAAAGGGCTCAAGTTTCGCAACATCGATCAGAGAATAACCATTATTGACACATCCCTGGTATGGATCACGTTCTAGTGATTTTGTTCAGGTAAAGTTTTGCAACATTTCATTAGTTATTGTACATTTCATACATTTCCCAAATATTAACTACCACGGCACCACCGCGAAATTATTCATTTTAAGGGAAGGCAATTTTTCAATCAGGGTAACACTGCGCAAATAATAGTTGAACAAAAATGTCGCAGGGTGAATTGAATAATTTATTTTCAAGTCGGTTAAAAAGTGTAGATAATTTGGAAATATCCAATTACTATTTTTTACTTTCTCTCCATAGTACGTGCTTGTGTATTAAAGAGAAACTATTGTAACGCTGCTAACGGAAAGTGGAAAAAATATAAATCTTGTTTCCATCCATGTAATCCATTAAAGTATTTTTCTAACACGTGTATTCAGTATCCACGTTTTGTGGGTTCTTGTTACCGAAAAATTGGTTTATGGCAAAACCGTCCGTTCGTCCGTTCGTCCGTTCGTCCGTTCATCCGTTCGTCCGTTCGTCCGTTCGTCCGTTCGTCCGTTCGTCCGTTCGTCCGTTCGTCCGTCCGTTCGTCCGTTCGTCCGTTCGTCCGTTGTCAACGCAAACACCTAAAACGTTTAGACTTTCTCCAAAGCTGATATTCTCCAATCGATTTGAAGGAACTTGAGACCCTGAAACGGGGTTTGAAACGGATATTATGATTACTAGTTCTTGACATGCAGTTTCAATATTTTCTAAATTTTCTCATACGTGCAGACAAATGTTTGGAATTTACCTTTCCTCGGGCATTTACAAAATGGTGCAGGTCTCGTTTTTGTTGAAATTATTGAATTTTCAAGAACTGCAAGTGTTCAAATGTTTTTGCCGTCTTCCCACAATTCAATATAGATTATTTTCCCGAATGGAATCTGTTCTTCAAAGACATCTTTGATTAAGATCATGTTCAATTTTTCGAAAATATGAGTATTTTTGCGTCAAAAAGGCAATTTTTAAACAGATATGAAAACTACTTTAAGAGATTTTTTCTCAATGAATGGTTCCAAATTTTTTCTTTACTTTTTTCAGAAATTGAGCAAAGAATGCTAAAAAATGGCACAGGGATCATTTTCGTTCAACTGTCTCAATTTTGTAAAGTCAAAAATAGTGAAAGCAAGAATATGCTGTTATCGTGCTACTAATTTAGTGGACACAAGAGTTACGTTTCTGGTCATCCTTAAATATACTCATATTACATAATTAGATAAGATTCGTTCTTACATTTCTGTGCCCCGACAAGGGCGTTGAGACCCGTAACCCAGATGTTTGCCTCTTCAGACGTAGCCGCTACGAGGTCCAATGATTCAAAATCCTCCCCATAGAGAATGGAGAAGGAGCAGTCTTCATTGTGGCCGAGAGATCGGAGAACTTCCGTATTCTTACCGGTGCGAATTTCTTTAATACTATCAATCGGCACTGAAATCATATACGGAAATATGTGACACAGTAGGATGTGAAGTACCAATTTAAAATTTTCTTACTTTTTTATACAATTATACAGTATCTCGTCCAGTAATGAAAATACATAAGAATTATTTAATGGTGGTGGGTTTGGAATTTCCGAGAAGTGTCGTTGTTACGTTAATTTACAATTTCTATGTCACTGAATGTAATTCATATCAATCAAATAAAAACGGGTAATAATGCTTACTAAAAACTGTAATAGTTTTGATACGTTATGAGAATCTCTGCAATCGAGATGTCTAGAGAAACACTAATCCTCAGCCCGACGTTTCGCTCCGACATCGGTTTGTACCCTCTCTCAGTATATATCCCAGTCTGAGTTCCACCAGATGTAGAAAAAAGAAACAAAAAAAAAAAGGTCCTGTCCGGATGTCCAATATCGTTAAGGCAGTAGTGTCGTAGCGATCTCGAACTGAAGAATCGCGGGTTCGAGTCCCCGCCTCGGGCATGATCGTATTTGTGTTCATCTTTTCATCCCCTATCATCACCATGTCATGCCATCTTCACAGCTACCGTACCGTTAAGAGTCGTCGCTAATGACCTAAATGTTGATGCGATCTTTAGTAACAAAAAATACAGTATCAGATTGACAACTATATACTTGATAATATACAACAAATATGTACTATATAATTCAAGAATTAATGTTTTTATCATGCATCTTAATAAGAAGAGGGAAAGTTTCAGCCTACAAATATCATGAATTATCCAAAGTTGTGATCAGATACGAATATTTAGAAACTTCGAGATTCAGATAGCGGAAATAAAGAAAGAACAGAATTCCCTCCTCTGTTTCTCATTATAAGTATGTGGATTTAAGTCATTATAGAAAAAGTACTGTCATTTACAAGGGAATGAACAATTTAATAGCTTTCTAAAATCTCGTGTAGATAAAAAAAAATCACACTAATTACGTAGAGATATGAAGAGGTAGTTCAAGCTAGCTAGAAATTGGGAAACGCAGCTCTATCTCGCACACCTAGAGTTCTCTATCACGGCTGCGCGGAACTCATAGGAGTCGAACCGCTCCGTGTATATTTAGAGCAATATAAATCAATGTTATAACTCCAATTACCAAATGAATAAAATTCTATCAGTATCCTATCAGTGTATACAAGTTTATGAAATGCATTTTCGAATCATCTCACTTGTCTGCACTACTCCAAATTTGGTGCTTTTCGAGCGAGTCGTGCGTGACATTTTTTGAACCAATGTCACAAATTTTTTAAACTCTGTTTACAAAAAACACTTACCCATTGCTTTCGAGGATTTTTTACTAGTAGGCGTCCACCGAATGGCGTTGAGGTCTTCGGAAAGGGAGAAAAACCGGTGATACTGCCGCGAATTAGGTCTTACTTTGATTAAACTGCTGCCACCCATCATGTAATGCAGGCAGGCGGAGGCTGTAACACACGAAATCATTAACTGATTAACTGATTGAACAAACATGATTTTAGAGTTATTATTTTTGTATTCTCGTATTCATAATATATAATAACTATGTATTGCTAAAAAATCTTGTAATTTTTATGAAAATACATGTTTTACGGCCGCGAAAGACAGAAAAACCGTGTTCTTTACATCACGGCTTTCTTTCCGACCAAGACAAAGGTAAGTAGTAAGTGCAATTTGGGTGAAAAAAGGAATCGCAATATAAAACAATATTTGACGCGGCAACATTAGCACAGAGACAGGTTAGCATCCTGAAGATGTGGTTCAGTACGCAGTGGTGATGTTAATTTGCACAAACACACACAGTACGCACATACGCGCACATACACACACAAACGAAGATTTTGATGCTGGTGCTGTAGAAGAGCTTTCAACACTTTTGTGTAAGTTATGAGAATATCTTGTGGTACAGAAAGCAAGATATTCAAAATATTACCTTCCGTAAATAATACGGTTGTTCTAAAGAGGTAAACATAACATTATCAGGAAAGTCGGAAAATACGTTCTTAAAAATTTATTTCTTTACGTCTCTAAAGAAATAACTAAGGTCGTTAGCGACTGCTTTTATTTTAAGCAAAGCAACATTCTCAACATTAACTACATCACTCATTACATGGAACACGCATAAACAAAAGATTTTACATTAATTTTACAAAGAAGTACATTAATTTCTAACAATAATTTAAATTAATAGGTCAAAAGAAATAATTTTCAAATATTGTAACATTAATTTACAGCTTTCAATTGAGTTAATATTTTCAGAGATAATATTTTAATGCTATGAATGTTTCCTATATTTTGTACACTTTAACATTCTAAGAAAATGAGACCTTTAGATAAGTTTCTTCAATATTTTGGCAGGTTGCTGGGTGAGGTTTATTTAATTATTTATTTAACGTCAGGAACAGTTAAAAACCATGTGTGACGCACTTCAGGGAGAAGTGTGCACGTTTCCTTAATTTCCGCGATTCCTACCGTAACCCACATACAAGTTGAATTATGAATACAGGTGAAAACGAGCACTTTTGGCAAGAATTGATAAGAAAATATTCGCTCCCGTGTAATGTCTGTTTGCAAAGGCAAATCCGGTACGGAATTTGGCTATTATCTCTCATCGCGCCCTTTCTGAAAGAACTGAATCACTGCCAAGAGAACACCGAGAACGATAATTTGAATAACTATATTCCCCACTGAACTCTTAGGAAGTGTGCACAGATAGTGAAGTTATATTGTTTAGGTCCTTCATTAGATGGCAGTGGTCAAAAGAGGAGTGTCCAATTCTTAATATTGTGATAATTACTTGTTCGTTTCTTCGTTCATACATATTGAGGATAGTTAAATCTGTATTTCATTTATTTTACGAGCTCGAGTTTAAAGGGCGATGCTTTCCAATGACGATTTATTTATCGTCAAAACAGTTAAAAGCTGTGTGTGATGAACTGTAGAGGGAAGTGCAATTTCTGTACGTTTTCTTGAGTACTGACTCAAAAATGATGAGTTGAATTATGATTAAAGGTAGAAACGAGCGTTTCTGGCAAGAGTTTATACAAAAATATTCGCTCGCATGTTATAAAACTATTTGCCAAGGCAAATGTGGTACATATTTTGGCTATTACCCCTTATGGAACTCTTCGTGAAGAAATACATTTACTACGGCGAGAACGTTACATACTATTTGAATAACTATATTCCTCACTGAGCTCAAGAAAACGCGCGCGTGTAGGGAAGTTATGTTTGCGCAGCGGTTATGCAGTAGGAAAGATTTGAAATAATTAAATGAGTCGTCAATATTGTTGGCAATGACTCATATAATTATTTCATTGTAAATGCCAACGAAAACTCACCACAATACCAACAGGATACATTTGACTTGACACAAGCTTGCGTATCGATTTTATGTTCAATATCATTGGATAATGCGTTGTAAAATATTGTAAATGTATTGTATTGATTTGTTTGTAGTGAACTGTTGCTACTGACACCAGATGAATATGATGACTACGTTGAGTGTAAGTGAAATTGCTATAGACATCTGTATTAGCTGCAAATGTTCCCACCCTCAAGCAAGTCATTTTTTAACACCAAAAGAAAATAAGTACATCAAGATAGAAGGCAATAGATGTACTATCGGCTTACTAATGAAAGGCACGAGTCACGTGGGTGGGGTGTGCTGCTTATTGGTTCAATTATTTTCTGTACTCTTAGAGGTGTGAGAGGTGAGTCATTTGAAATGGAAAATGGCATTAAAATCGTATTCCTTTCGTTTACTATAAATTTGTCAATACAACACCAGTTTGAAATATCTGATATTGTTCTATTTACCGTTTCTTAATTTCAAGGAATATCCGTATCATCAGCAAAGTGAACTGTTGTTCTCTTTCGAATCGGTGAGTGAATATCGTTTACGTATAATAGGATAGTAAGGAGAGAAGAGAGCCTAAAATGAAACTGCGGAATCCCATGTGCAATTGGATTCATCGGAAAGGTGAGTAAATAATGTCTATTTCAGTGCAGTATTTCTACACTCTAATTTTGTTACTGAAGGTACAAAAATAACCAGTCGAGAACAATAGCACGAATTTTATTAAGAGTATTTCAAGGGAAGGGTGAACTGTTGAGTGAAATAGAAGTAGGAGTTAAAATGTTAAAATACGTCGCATAATAAATGTATACTGCTGCCGCCCTATCCCTAGACCTCAACTCGCAAGCCAATACTCGCTCAAGTGGATTGGCAGAGGTCTTTAATAGATCTGTTAATATTTTGAGTCACAAGCAGTCCTAACGTATTGCTGACACCTATTCCAAAGGGGCATTTACCGAAGAATTTAAATTTGATATTATATTGCAACATTTAAATAAAATCTTGAATACGTAAGGTTTACATGCATTAAATCCATTTACAATCATAATGTAGTTTGACACTGTACATGTTACAGTTCTGACGTGGTGTTGATCATTCATTGTCAATATACCGGTATTATTCCGATTTTGTTTGGAAGACCGAACGTCTTCAGTAGTTTTCCTGGCTAGATAATCTTCGTTAGTACGTCTAGAGACACAATTTATTTTGAAATTTAAATCGCGAAGAGAATGAACTGGAACATTATGTGGTCACCGTTTCCCCTTTTGCATCTAAATGACAATCCCATTCCCAAATGATACGGCTGCGCTATCTATACAAGTTTCCAAGACGCAGTGCCAATACTTAAATAATGCTAACTAATAATACAATACTTAAATATTGCCTGCCAAGAAATTGGATAACTAGACAATACATGTTAGCAAATTGATTATATCTTGGCAGAGACGCCCAGAAAAATCAAGAAGCCTACGGCATTAGATACACAGGGCCCCATATTTCAAAAAAAAGTTTCGCTTCAATACATGCACAGAATTTATTTTTCCTTGCAACAAAAATTACTACAGCAGTTAATTTGAACTCTAAGTAAATACACTTTATTTCTTTTAAAATAAAAAAAATGGGGCCTGAATTAGTCGGGGCCTGGGACAAGTTGCCCCAGCTGCATCTCCCCTTCTGGACATTTCTATTTCTTAGGAAGTATTATGGTGATTCCTCTGTTTTAATGGACACGCAAAGAAACTGTACAGGAAGAGTTGTCATAGAAACAGAATTACTACGAGAAAATGGGGTTACTCTGAGAGGCCGGCAAAACAACAGCACGCGAAGACTGAACCCATAGAAACTGAAAACGACGGAAGCCTTATTACAAGGACATTCGACCACGTCAACAGGCACGTGATTGCAGTTACCAATAAATAAAAATTACTTACATCGAAATACTTATTTTAAAACTAGCACGAATATTTCACTAATGATTAAAAGATACAGACCATATTGCACAACATAGACAGACTGCAAGAAAAAACACGAAAGTATTAGCAAATTGTAAGTTTACAGGAGAACACAATTTCAGCTGTTTCTGCGAGTCGCCTTCAACACACGCAATTTTTTTTAACATGTTGAAGAAACTATTCTCTTGTATAACTGGCAACAAGCTGATTCACGCTTAATATTGTTCATTATTTAGACAAAGTATAGCAGCCCTACGCGCCACGCCGCTAAGGGATCGCACACACTCCGCCATAATGATGCACGCCATTGGTTTCATGTGACTTGGACTTCGTGCCCCACGCTAATTATTGTTGACATGTTAAAACTAACTTGTTACTGATGGTTGTGAACATGCCATACTGTACTGGTGTCTTCAAATATATGTTATCACTTTAAAAAATGTCACATTCTTCAAAAGCATCGGCAGAAAAAGCAGGCACATTAATAGTGTAGTGAATAACACTCGGTGAAGGATATGAACATCCAGTTCCATAACGGCCGTTTAGTGCATAATAAACAATTGCAAATTATATGTACGTAAACAAGTGCAAATTATACATATTAAACAATTGCAAAACATACATGTTCTCGCGCTGCTAAATTACCAAGGAAACGTAGCTTTTGTATGAAAACACAGCGTATTTTCAGTCTGGTGTGTAATTTAGAACATCTAAACCTCTTCACTTTCATACTATTGACAAATGTTCATATTTGTCAATAGTATTTACATTATGATATTTAAGTTTAAAACGAATGTATTGTATGATTGAATAATGGAGCTTTGAGACCGTAGATTTTAGCAGCGCCCTTGACAGCCTCTCTAATGACCCGCTTTTTAATTTCTGAAACTTTTCCCCTCCAAAATGCCCAACAATGGAAAATTTTGATTCTGAAAATCACTTTATGAATAGATGCATAATTTTACAGAAATATACTTGCTCTTAGACGAAAACTACTTTCAAGATACCCCAATAATATGTCATCCTTTGATATCTGGGATGTTTTGTTAATAATAACATGTCATCCCTTTAAAAAATAGTATTCAATCCCGTAGAAGCTAAACTGTTTTAACTGAAATCGTTTAAGGCGCGGTCATAGAGGTTTATTCCTCCAGTTCTTCAGAAATGCGTTGCGGACTTCTAAACCATCAATCACTCCAGCCAGTATGACACGCGTCTTACGAAAGTGGAGTTCGTTAGGCAATAAACAGAGTGTGTCTTCTGTTGGAATGTAAATGTGGCTACAGTCATCGACATTTAATGTGCATTGCACGAATAGAGGCAAACGCCAAATGTCTAATTTCATTACGGGAAATTTCCCACTAAAGATCATTAGCAACAAGTGATTTTCCAACTCTCTTAATGGCCCAGAAGTTTGTAAAATTTATTCTCAGACCATCTATATTATTCTGTTTTGGGTCGTATCGCTATAACGTATATGCGTGTTTTATACTCCTTAGTAAATTCAGTGTTGAGGTTGGAACGGGTGTTGAAGGTGACTTTCTTGCGAATAGCAGATAGAACCCGTCTGCAAATGTTTTTGAGATTTTATGACTTGCATTTCTTTGTTATGACGCAACAACTTTACGACTAGAAAAGGTTGAATGATTTGAAAAAGACTGACAGACTCGTAGAAACTGAATAGCTGATTTACTACAAAAAACGATGGAGTAACTGTACAATGTAAAGCAGAGGGACTCTTTACCGGATAGAAGAGATTCGTCATTTGACCGAAGTCATTATTCCACTCCCCGCGATGTTCCGTGGGGAGGATGAAGGAGAAAAGAGGTGCGTTTTTAGCGAGTAAAACTTTCACACGCAGGGTAGCACGGGCTTCCCAGTCTTTCGATGATTACCATCGTAAAAAGACACACACGTAGGCAGGCAGAGACAGACAGGCAGGCAGACAGACAGACAGAAAGACTCACAGAGATAGGCAGACGGTTTTGCTGTACTCACTAAACTTGGATTGATTACACAACGTATGAGAGGAAGTAATGTACAACACATAGAAACACGATGTATCCCACATTTTCTACTAGGGTCCCACAAAACGAGTTTTTCTGCCGAAACGTCGCTGAAAATGTAATGCTGCTGCACTACATTTTCTCTTCCGTCCGTTTCTCTTCCGTGAATTAACGACTGTCCATCCATTCACAAATTCGTTATAAGAATTGAGGGAGATTATTCATTGGGAGAGATAACTAGGATGGAAACTTTTACAACTTTCCATGGTGGATTGCTAGTGACATTCACAGTAAACAAACTTTTAGATACAGTTATATCTCCATAGGTGCTCATTATATTTGCTGGTGCTACGACTTTTCCAAAGAACAGATTCGCATTGGATAAGCCTTAATGGATTATAATGTGAACTTCGGAACCCAGGAGCAAACACTTTGGGGGTTACATTGAATTAACGGGTAACGGCCTTCAAACCGCTTTGCGTCCACGATTTCCTTCATAGAATACAGAAGTATGTAACGCAAATCCTAGAGATCCCGAAGCAGTCATTAGTCGCATTGCTGACACATCGAGTTCACTCTAGTATCGCACGGCGCAAATGACCGGGACTGAGGGATTCCCGTGGGGCTCAAAACGCTCAAGTGGAAAGCGTCTTTCCGTCCTAGTAGACGGCGCCCACAGATCCAAGCCTACTAGACGGCCCCAAGAAGATCTTCGGCGTGATGTATTACGTGACGAAGCGCTTCGTACCCCGGCAGCGCGGCAATTCGAAGACGGGTACAAATAATTCACGAAGGTGCAAACAGGTGGTGATGCAACAAGTCTGCGTAGTATTGGACTTCGCCGTGCAAGTGCAATCACGCATTTCCATGGCCCACTCGAGCAGTAAATCACGGTGCGGGAGCGCGGGCCCGCACCGCCAGGGCGAGGAAGCGCGGCGGAGGGGGGTGCGCGAGGGAGGGGGAGAAGGGAAGCGGCGAGCGGATGCTCCAAGGCGCGCCCCATCGGTGGGGCAAACAGGGAAGTCGCGTTCTCATGCGGGAAGAGCAACCTATTACTGCACTCACGGCCGCGCTGCTCCCCGACTAATCCAATTACTGCCCCGCGAGGAAAAGAGGGAACGCCGGGGCACTAGCGGGCTTCAAAGCTGCACGGCAACTCTGACCGCGTTTCTTGACGTCGTCTGCCTCGCGCCGCCCTTCCCGCCAGCTCCCCTCCTTCCCGTACTCCGCGCCCCGCATCCCGTGCCGCTCTCATCGTGTCCCCGTCGCCGCAGTCACCGCGACCGCCTCGTCAGTTTGCGCCGTGGGTCACCTCCCCCCCTCTTTGTCGTCGTCCTCGTTGTCCTCCTCCTTTTCCTCCTCTTCCTCCTCCGCATCCTCCTCTTCCTTCTCTTCCTCCTCCGCATCCTCCTTTTCCTCCTCCGCATCCTCCTTTTCCTCCTCCGCATCCTCCTTTTCCTCCTCTTCCTCCTCCGCATCCTCCTTTTCCTTCTCTTCCTCATCCACACCCTCCTCCTCGCATCCGCTCCTCGACCAGCCTCTCCTCGTCCACAGAATTCAGAAAAGTTCCCCAGTGCCCTAAGAGCTTAGTTTACTAAACTTTAAAAAAATGCCCTTCATCTTTGGAGATACCAGATGTTTTATCAATAGGACAGACTCCCCAAAAATGGATTTTTTTTAAAAAAGCAGGAAATTTTCGAGCGTTGAAAGACTAAAAGGTATATACATGCCTGTATTAGCCTATTTTCTTGACTTACGCTTAACTTTTTTTTATTAAAAGAGAGAAAAAACAAAGTCGGTTTGAAAGGCAAAACTTTTGTGCGGAATTAATGCCACAAAAGAAATTTATATCTGTAAACAACTGGTATATTCATGAAAATCCGAATAATTTATGTGTACAATTTTTTTTACCACGACTAATACCCTTCACCGATTTCATTTCCAATTTCTTCTCTTCGTTAGTTTGTTGAGCTGAGGTAAGTGAAAAAAAACTCTCGACATTTTCGTTATGGATTGTGATAGCGAAAAAATACGAAGCAAATTTCAGAAACTGTGAATGACAGGTCTGTGTGCTTCTTGCCACATAAATTCATAACCAAAATAACACTGCAAGATAACTTTTCAAGATCAGAAATTTTCCATTTAAGATATTTATAAAATATGACGAGGTCCGGATAATTTGGCTAGTCGGCGGTATGTAACATTCACTGATGATACTGGACCTGATTCATTAATATAATTGATTTCTTGTAATTGCCAAGATGTTTCGGTACAGCATGGAGCTACACAAATGCTCATTCGCTTTGCCGGGTACCGCTCTAGCCTGAACAAGCCCTAGGCTCCCAACTCATCTTCGACATACGTATGTGAAAATGCAGTGCATTTAAGTCTAATCGTGTGTCAGTAAACGGTGAGGATAAAGGAAGGAAAGATCGTGTGTGGCTAGTCGCTCGTGTTATGGCACTACCCCGGCTTTCGCTTGGTTGTTGATCGAAGAAACTACGGATCAGGGCAGCCGGACGCTACATGTCTCCTCGAGACAGCGGATGAATTCGATCTAGCTATCTTGCTAGTATCCCGACGACGGCGGGATTCGACTCTAGGAACTGTCAGTCAGAGGCACCGCAGTGTCGATAGTGATGCCCAGGGCCACTTCAGACGGTGATAATAACGATGTTAATCACAATAGTCGTGATATTAATGGTAGTCAAAAGTTAATTCTCTTCCATTTGATGTATCTTTGTATTCGTGTAAGTAAAACGTATTAGTTAGCATACATACATTGTCATTCCTACAAATACATTCATACATCATTTCGACCTCAGTATTAAAACATTAGTATGTGTTAGCTATATCTAACATGATCCTTAGAACCCACAAATACTACAGTGGAGTGTCCATTAGGAACTTGAAGAAACTCATAAAAAAATCAGATAGCAACGAGGTTAAGAATTTCGTTACATTTTCTAAGTACTTGATTTGGCGCACATTTGTAGATAAATTTGTGATCTTTAACATGGGCTAAAACCATATATGCGCTCAGAACAACAATTGAAAAGTTATTCATAAAAATAAGAAAGTCCCATGATTTCGTGATTTTCTGGCTACCAAAACTTTTCACGAGGCATTTCGAGATGCGACACTTCGGATTTTCTTATTAAAGAAATGTAAACAAAAATAACCTTTTTTCTTCACCTTTTGATAGGTAAAATTACGTATCGACAGCACAGTATACAGTATATACATAATGCTACGTTCGCTTCATAAATTGATTTGAATATCAATAATTCATATTCTGTTTTTAATTCTGTTTTGAAGTTAAGGGCTTATAGCAATTTTGAAATTTTTATGCAGCACGAGTTTTCATTGTTTACACGTAATTTCCATACTAATTTCTTGTTAAATAATATTCATACAGTTTTAGCAGAAATATTTCTTGGTATCTGAAGAATAACAATATGATTCATTTTTCAGAGAGGGGGTACCAGTTGGCCGTCAGAGCACAAATATGTTTGCTTGTAATTTCTTGGAGTCACCTGTACACTTCATTTTTCAGCCTGTTGATATTTGGCGAAAGCATACTGTAAATGAATGGAAAGATTATTTTATGATTTCGGGCATGTCAGCTTCTATTGGTCCGTAGGCGTAGTTAATACTATCCCGAGAGGAGTTCTTCTCCCGTTATAAAGTGAAATTCGGGGCCGACACACAGGGGGGATTTCCCCTCCAGGTATCGTCGCCACTAGCGCAGCGCCCAAGCTCTCGATTAGTCTCCCAACATGCTGGTAGTTGACTGATAATTCCTGCCGCGTCAAGAGCAAAGGTCATTATTCCCGTAAGTGTACTCAATGTTTGCTTCTCAGGTGGAGGTGATCTTCCCCTCCTAGACGGTGATATCGGGCGCCGATCTACGAACGGCTAGCAGGGTTTTTACTAAACAGGTATCTCCCACAAGCGGGGCTCCGCCGCAATCGGGACAACCTCTAAGCTCACAACCAGTCTCCTGGACATGCGTGAGGATAGGACGAGTAGGAAAGATATCGCGCGGTTCGTATCCCGTATGTTGTGGTACTGCTCTGGTGTCACTTGGTATATATCGGAGAAACCACGGAAAACTACTAACCAGAGCAGCCGGCCGAATTCTAGAATTCTCCTCCAGACAGCGACTGAATCAGATCTAGCTACCAAATATCCTACCACCGTCGGGACTCGAACTTAGGACCTCCCACTATGTGTGGTAGTATAGTACATGTTTCTGTAGATGTGAGTATTAATGGAGACGAGGGGACAGGTATGATGAAGGAAACTACGCGCACAGTCCGCATTTGCTTAGTTCTGATTGGCTTAGTTTTGATGAGGAACCGGCGTCTAGAATTCTCTCGTCAGCGGTTGTATTTGAACTAGCTAGTGTCAAAAATCCACCACCGTCAGATCTCGAACACTAGGCTTTAACGGACAGAGACACTGCAGTGGCAATTGTTGCCCTGTCCCATTTCAGCTGATCATATTGTACGCTATTCTGTATGCTTCGTTTTCTATTCAAAAAGTAGAATGTGAGGTAAATATAGTTGTTTCATCTGCGTACAATAATATGTTTGAAATTGATTCAGGAATTTTTGATGAATATGTACAGAAGAGGATGAGAAAACTGAACCTTGAGTCTCCAGCAACAATGGGACATGGTGAAAATGAATCGTTTATTTTAATAAATTCTGTTTACAAGAAAAAATACCAATAATGTTTACACTCTACTGCCATAACCTGATTTCATTACCTTGTTTACGACACCAGTTTGACACCCTCAGACATAAGCTTGGGTAAAGTCTAGAAATATGGTTATTGTGTGTTCATGATGGTGTAAACTATTTGCTATGAGCTCTGCTGATCGGTGGATTTTATAATACGTTGAGTGCGGTGACCTGAATCCTGTCTTGTAAAATGTACTATTCAATTTCTTTCGTTCACGGTTGCAGAATTTTCGACACTGGCTAGATAAGTGAAATTCAGCCGCTGCATAGAGAAATAATTGCAAATAAATTGATAATTGCAGAAGATAATTGCAATAAAAGACCGCGTGCGACATTTCATTCCTCTTCCTTGCCCTACCCTCACCCCTTATACTCAAACACACACACGCGCGCTACACTAGCACAATTACCGGGAGATCAGTCAGGGAGCTTAGAACTTGTCCTTGCTGGGGCAGTGCCCCGCTGGTGGGAGACCGGGTGGGAGACCGGGTGGGAGACCGGGTGGGAGACCGGGTGGGAGACGGTGGGAGACGGGTGGGAGACGGGTGGGAGACCGGTGGGAGACGGGTGGGAGATCGCTGGGAGATCGGCTGGGAGACCTTGGTTGGGGAAAAACCAGGATTAGAAATTCTTCAATTTTGATAATCATTATCTAATTGTTGGGAGTACATTACATCAGTTTCCTGAAACATTTTAAAAATTTTCTCACAAGATGTTCCACATTTTTTCTTTAATTGTTTTGTAACAATAGAGTGAAGTATACTTATAAAAAGTGGTAGAACCGATTTTCACGGTTAACTTTGGATTTTGGAAAATTGCGAAAAGTTTGAAGCTATTACGGAGTCTTCCTTAAATTAAAATATTAAAGATAGAGATTTTTTCTTGAAATGATATTTGTTCTCCACAATCACTTTTTTAATTATTGGTATTTACAGTTTTTGAAAATATAAGAAATTTTCACGTAATTGCGAGTGAAACATGGGGCATATTAAAAAATATTAAAAACAAGAATTTCTCAAAAAAAGCTTCAATTTTTTCTTTCAAACTTTTAGTAAGGGTATTGCTGAATGCACTGTATACGATGATATGTCATTTTGCTGTGTTGTTAGTGTGTTTCTTTTAATTACTTAAATGTAATATTTTTGTCATTTTCACGACATTAGTATTTACATTATCGGCAATTGTTTATTAATTATTGGATTTGTAAGTACAAGTGCTTTAAATTATGTCTTATAAAGTTTCTGGAATACGCGTTACGTTCCTGTGAAAATGAGCACAAATTTGCGAATTTTTAGAAAAGCTCCAAGGCCGTTTTCTCAAAAACCGATCCAAATGTTTTCTTCAACATTTTTTATGCATAGGGCTTAAATATTCTGAATAACATGGCATTAATGATACATTGATTTATTCTCTAGCTATTCCTATCTCACTACCGCATAAGCAGAAGAGAAAAAGTTAAGTAATGTGCGAAAAAACGGCGCATTTTCGGCAAAAACACTTTTTACAGGGCCTTTATAAACCACATTAAAAGTGGATTAATTCAGTTGCTAAACTGAGGAACAAAATCCTCTAACACGGAGAGTAGACAGAATCCATGTTTTGTGGATCCTTGATACTGAAAATTCGAATGACGGCAAAACGTCTGGCAGCCCGCCCGTCTGCGAAAAATGCTAGTGGATAATTGTTCAGCCGATTTTCTCCAATATTGATATTCCCCAAACGATATGGCTGATATCGCGGCCTCTTGAATTTTGAAACCGATATTTTAATTTTGGGGGATACTTTACATGATGCC